CATACATTCCATAGGGACCATACGGAAGAACTACTGGTGGAGAAGAAACATTTTCTTTAGTTCCATCGACTCTATTTAAATGCATTGTTTCACCTTTCATCTGGTCATTAAAGTCTTTTGCGTGTTTTGCAAACTCATCGTCCTTTCCTAAAGCATTTTCTGACTCAGTCGCAACCAAATTGGATGCTTTATTTATGAGCCCTATTTTATTTAATCTTAACTTCTTTGCAACCCAGCCTACAATCTTCCCTTTATTTGCATCTAATGTCTTCGAAACCCTTCCTCCACTCATTTTATTTACTGCGTCATAAGCTCCAAGTGCTTTTGCTCCAAATGCTAATGCTTTTGTTCCCATTGCGCCTAATGCTGCCCAAGCTACCATTTACACCATATTAAAATCATCTCTCTTCAATATTATCTCATAAAAGTTCTCGTTACTGGAGAAAGTCAATGAAACATAAGCGTTCTCACGGGCTTCGCCCTCACCACTTTGCGGTCTATCTAACTTCTTTCTTATCTCATCTATACGCTTCAAAATGTCTGAACAATTGCTAACATCTTCTACAACAGTTATTTCATCATGAATGACCTTCAAGAACAAGCTCATTTAATATGCTATTAAAATCATCTCAATAATGAGTCCATCCTTTCCGTCTTTGGGTAGCACAACATCTTTCATTGAAGAAGGTTCGACAAGTCTTATGTTAAACTTACTGACAAAGTTTGTTATACTATAATGCTTCGGCGGCGAATACATGTAGTTTGAAAGACATAATATAGATTCTTCAGCAAATTCACTTATACTGGATTTTATAACAATGTTCTCACGAGACCAAATACCACCAATTGAAAAACTTGTAAGCAATCCTGCTGAACCTTCTACTGTAAACGTCGATGGTAACATTCCACGAAGGTCATCTATTGACATCGTTGAGTCACTGTATTTAAATATTTTCTTAAAGCAATCGTCATTATCTAACCATGCAATAGCTTTGAAGTTTTCATTCGAATATACATCTGCTTCATTAAATGTAAAACCTGACTTCTTTGCAGAGATGACTTTAAAATCTATTGAGTTTGTTTCAAAATTATATGCTATGGTAACTTCTGAAGGTAATGGATGTCCTTCCGCAGTCAGTTGTTCTCTCACTACCGTTTGAAGCTTTGTATTAAAAACTTTCATGTCATCTCCTGTGTCTAGGTTCACATACACAGCAACAGGGAAACTATCTTGCTTCTTTGTTTCATCATTATATCTCAAAACATTAAAGTTCTTCAATAATATTGTTCTTCCTGCTGGAATACTTCGAACCTGTCTGATTTCAATAGCTTTCTCACCTCCTACATACTCTACCCAGTGTCTTGGATATTCATAAGTATACTGGCTTTCTTGAATTTTGGTTGGTTTCATCATAACATGTTCATAGTATATCTTTATACTCTTGTCAGTTAGACTCGGTGCTATGTTCTGAATATTTCTGACTTGCATTTTTAATGGAGATAAAATGAAGCATTTAATACATGACGTAGATGAAGACATGAATGAAACTACAGACAAACTTAACTCTTCTCTCATTCTTCCTTTCAGCAAAGATTATGAGTTCTGTTCAAATGGTGTTTATTTCTATTGTGGAAAGATGGGTTCAGGTAAGACATTTAACCTCATTCGTCATATACTCATAACAGAGCGTTTAGGAAATGACTCATATTATGACCAAATCATTATATCAGCAACTTCAGACTCTATGGACTCAACAGCGAAAACATTTATGTCAAAAGTTCAAGCCGATGTCGTTAAAGTTCCAGACAGTGAACTCATTGAATTTCTTCAACGTTACATTCGACGTAAGAGGAAATATTATGCTATCGTTGAATTTATACAGTCAGGAATGCAAAAGACTTCTGAGGAGATGGAAAGAATTATTGACAAACACCACTTACGTCAATACTCAGGAGTTTACAATATAGGGTGTCCAAAGGTGCGTTTAGCACAGCGCTCTATATGAGACTATTAAAGGAGATATATGCTGATTATAAATATATAATAAAAAATATGAATATATGTATATGATGAGCATGTTGTATTTTGGCGCCATGCCGGGATATAAAATGAATTTTGAGACAAGAGGCGGTTTCGCGGGAAATTTTGGCGGGATTTTTTTCATTTTTTTAATGAATCATAAAGAAAACATCCTCGCTCTTGCAAAAAAATGCAAAGACTGTAAAAAAATCTACGAGACATTGGTAAAATGCTTCGGTATGGATGCTCCTAGCTATTCCACTGTAACGTATCATATTAGGATGTATCACTTCATGAACAAAAAGGCGCCCATCATAAAAATTGACAAAAAATCGCCGGATCAAAGAAAAATCAAAGCAATTCTTCAAGCGCTAGATGAAGACCCAAGAGCATCACTCAGAAGGATAGAGGAGATGACAAAGATACCAAGTACAACAGTCAGTTATTATCTGCACAATTATTTGAACTACAAACTAACGTATACACGTTGGGTTCCGCACAACCTTAATTCAGTTCAAAAAAAATCTAGAGTCCAATCTTCGAAAGAGCTCCTCTCTATATTGGGTGCGTATCAATCCAAGAAGTTTCGCTTTTTAGTAACCGGGGACGAGTCTTGGTTTCAATATGCAACAGAAGCCAAAATCATGTGGATCCCGAAGGATGAAAATCCGCAAACATTCCCGAAGAAAAAAATTGACACACCAATGATGATGTTGTCGGTTTTTTGGGGCGTGAATGGCATCATCGCAATTGATATTCTTCAAAAACCTAATACGATGAATGCTCAGTATCTAATTGACAATGTTCTTACTCAAATTATCAATTCTGATGAGTTTGAGAAATCCAAACAACAAAAACAAAAGTTTGCAATTCATTTTGATAATTCAAGAGTTCACAAAAGTCATAAGGTAATGAATTACTTGGTGGAAACAATGTTAAAGTTGTTCCAAACCCAATTTATTCACCTGATATTGCACCCTCTGACTTTTATTTATTCGGCACGCTAAAAAAGAGAGCTGAAGGACGCGAATTCGCGAGTCCAGATGATCTTGAAAATTTTGTAAGAGAGCAATTTGAGCAATTTTCTCATGATGATTTAAAGCGTGTCTTTCAAGCCTGGATCGATCGCTGCGAACGCGTGATTGAATCCAATGGTGATTATATTTAAATAAACTTTATATATATGTAACTTGTTTATTTCTATTCGCAGTATTCAGGTTTGTGCTAAACACACCTTTGGACACCCTATATGAAACGACTGACAAACTACATTCTGTCAAAACTTTCAAAATACCCCTTCAAAAAATATCCTTCAAACACTCTGCTCGTTTGTGACGACTTCGCTGGTAAAGGTTTAGTGTCAAAACCAGACTCACCATTAGCTAACATCATTACTAAAGTCAGACATTACCATTTAACTGTAGCAATACTTATGCAAACATGGAGGTTTTTAGCTTTAAACATAAAACGTCTCATAACTGACTTCGTTATCTTTCAAGGTTTCTCACGTTATGATATTGAACTCATTTGGAAACAGTCAGGTATAACATTACCTTTTGAAGAAATATGGGAAGCATATAAGTCTCTCATCTCTCCTCGTTCATACCTTGAGATTCATATCATGACTAATACCATTAAAGTCAAAAATATTCCATGGGAACGACCAACATTATTTTAAAGTTTAACCTTCAATTGACTGATGGTAAACAAATTCCATGCATCTCTGTCGCCATTTCTGTTAATATTTTTGCTGTCATTCATATCATCCACTTCCCCATCCGTTAGCTTTTGAGGATATGCGTTAGAATAGCTGTTCTTAAATGAAGGCTTTTCACCTTTGAGAGCATAAACTCTATAACTTTCTGCATACTTTATGTTTGAACCTCCTGAGCCATCATTGACATAAATTTTTATAGGCTTCCACCCTTTGTTCATGTTCCTGCTTCTTCCCTTAGCTCTTTTGTTCAGTAGTTCTACATCTTTATACACAGCACCTGTCTCAGTGAATTCAACAATATTTTCATTCGTTAGCTTTACATTCAAACCCTTGTCGAGTATATTGTTCATTTCATACATATAAAAGGTTTTTATTCTATATGAAATGAGAAGCAAATCCATCTTAGCTGGTGCCGTTAATGTTCCAATTGAACCAACATCAAATGTTGACTCACGAACGACAAACAATATTGTCATAAAGAACTATAGTTCAGAGTGTTTGAAAGAAAAAGAACCAGAACTTAAGTCGGTGAATTTAAACACAGCTTCAAACTCTAACGCTACATCAGATGTTAAGTTAGAGTATCCACCATTAGACCAAATTCTTTCAAGAGAAGCCAACGACAACCCTTACACAAATGTTCAAACAAATCCTTCAGATAACGTAGACCATTACCTTCTTCAGTTATACCAAACAATTTTACTCAAAGACGATAAGAAGCTTTTGATAAATCTTATAAGTAAGAACCAAATAATTCTAACAAAGGAGGACCTTGAAAATGTTATATCACGAATAACAGGGAAACAATGTGTCATTGACTATCTCGACCCTGAAATCGAATGCTGTGGTCAAACTCCACTATTCATGAAAATAGGTAACATCCGCATCATTGAAACACCAGGAACTACAGGAGTTGAGTTTAAGTATAAATATTCGAATGAATATACAAAACTTTCAACAGAATATAAACTTTGTTTGAAATATGTTTTAGTAAATTAAAGCAGTCAGGAGGGCTCTTTGAGCCCATCTTGGCGCTTTGCGCCGGCAGTCAAAAAAAATTTCAAGTTAGCAATTTGTAATATCTATCCAAAACTTCTTCAACAGTATCGAACTCATCTTCATAATGCAAACCTAATCTTATTGACTTGGTGCAGTTTTCACTAACACAATATTTTTCTGTTCTCTTGACTGACATAACTAACTCATTTGTTTCATCAAACAGCAACAACCAAAGTTCATGACCTAATACATAACATTCATACTTTATATTTTTAGCTCTGAGTTCTCTTGTAAGCTGTTGCATTTAATATTTTCTAAAAAGTCAACTTCAACAGTCATTCGCACTGGTGCCTTCAGTTCTACAGGCTCTCCTTGAAAGTCAACAAGTCTGAATTGCATGTCTTTCAAATTATGAGGACTAATGCGAACCCATTTACCTAAATGAGTTGCTATGACAGGAACGTTTGGAATGAACATTGAATTTACTTCATAACAGAAAGACTTATATTCTACTGAACCTTTACTATTAACTCCTGAAATGCCTGTGACATTAGCTATTTTAGACTCAATGTACAAACAGTTGCCATAACATACGTATGGAACAGATTTCATCTCAATCGTTTTGTCAACACTTTTCAAAGGAAATGTCATATGGTATGCACCCAGAAGCAATTGAACTCTATGACTCATTCGTGTTATCTTAAACTCCTTCGCATAACTGAACTTCAAAACTCCTGCAATAAGTTTAACATTCATTAAGTTTTCTTCGTTATCCTTGTTTATTGTAGTATTTATGAGAGCATTTAACACTCCAGCTAATGTTTCCATCTTATATTCTACATTATTGTGAAATCTTATTTCGTGCTTCTTTCCATCTATTTCAATCTCCATGAAATCTGTTTCATCTGTTATGACAAAAGTTGCGATAGTATTGAAGTCAACCATTCTGAATGCAAGCGCCTCATTCTGTAGACCTAAGTTTGTTTGTAGCTTTACTGTCCCGTATTCGTTTGGGTCTGTACTTTGCAAATAGAACAACATTTTATTCTCATTAAAATATGAGTATAGCTGCATATGCGTATGAAGCTGACAGAGCTAAACGTTTATATTTTGGTCAATACTCTCTCACACTTACTGACAAATATATTGTTATTTCTGATGGAAATACTGAGAAATATATAACATGGAAGGACTATGAAAAGTTTGACCCTATTTTAACTCCATGTACTATGCCATTCATTGTAAATGGTGAAATCGTCATGAAGAACGACACAACTGTTTATAGGTCTGTATATGAAGCTCTTGAAAGCATTCTTAACTTCAATCCTTCAGGGTTCGATACAAAAACAACTCCTTCGACAATGCCATTCATTGTAAATGGTGAAATTGTGTCAAAAAATAATGAAACAGTGTATAAGTCAGTGTATGAGGCGCTGAACTATATGCTTCATTTCAATCCTTCTGGTTTTGACCCACAAATAACTTCATGTACTATGCCATTCATTGTAAATGGTGAAATCGTCATGAAGAACGACACAACTGTCTCAAAGTCTGTTCGTGATATTTTAGACTACTTGCTTCATTTGGGTCCTACAGGATTTGACCCATATACAACTCAATGTCAAGTACCATTCATAAACGACTCAGCAGAAATAAAACTCAAAACGTCAACAGTAGATGAAGCAATTGCTGACTCATTGACAAAACTTCTTGATATAATAATGAGGTTCAATACATTCAAAACAACATATGAAACCTTTAAGAAAAATTATGACGATTTCTTTAAAATTACATACATCGAGCCTTCTGCTCCTCAAACACCAGACTATGCATGCCTTAAAATAAAGGCTGCACGGCACAAGTTAGAACATTGACTTTTGACGGAGATAATATCGTTAGAGACGTTACACCTGGAGACACATTACTTACGAAAGAATACTTAAAAAGTCATATCAGTGATTTTGTGAAAGTAGAACAAAGTGGAGCAGGTAAGAGTTGGTTAGGGTGGTTGTTTACTTTATTTTCATCAGGTGTAACAACTGCATCTCTTATAACCATGCAAAGTGAGATAGATGCACTCTGGGCTTTTTTTGGTGGCATAGAAGCATGAAGTTTTATGTTGAGTTTGCTAAATTACATGGAAATACAGGAAGTTTCTTTGACGGTCTCAAAAATTTATGGGGTTAAAGTAACATATAATACAAAGAAACTAACTAACTGGGCACTCAAACGTAAAAATATGTTCGACGGACTTGCTTACAACCCTCGTCTCGGAATTATTGAACCAATTAATTTACATCCTTTAATGGCAGCAAGAGATTTAGATGAAGGAGGACAAGTGGTTCAAACAATTGTTGAAAATCTACTGAATATATATCCTGAGTTTAAAGAAGTTTTAACAGCAACAAACACAACAATTCGTGAAAACTGTATAGTGTTTAACACTGAAGATAATATTTTAGACTATATGTTCGTTGTTTTAGGTCAGTTAGCTAAGACAATAAAAGAGAAAGGTATTGACTCAGTCATAACAGTTGAAGATGTAATGTTAAGAAAGACTTTTGACTCATTGTTTCAAGAACCAAAAGAAGTAGTTAGTCTTTATGAAGTTTTGAACGCAATGCTGACAAAAATAAATGAAAGTGACACTGGTAACATAAGTGAAGCAAAAGTTGTTGAACTTCTTTCACAAAAAGCAGATAAAAACCATGTTCATTATATAAGTTCAGACGAACAGATTATAACGAACTACCACGGATATTTAACACAGGATGAAGAAGTGAAGACGAAAGATGTTAATGAAAGAAGATATAAATACATTCGTGCTAAAGGTTATGACATACACTGTACTGTACAGTATGACACAGGTAAAGCACAAGAAACATTTGATTATAACAATGAAATTTATGCTTCATACTTCTTTGTTAACGGTGTATTAGTTGAACCATGATTTACTTTGAGAGTTAAGGCAAAAATAACTTTTGAAGATGCTATTAAAAGTAAAGCTGACAAAGATGAACTTGACGCAACGAACAAAGTTTTGAAATCTCATAAACACAATATCTCCGATATAAATGAACTTCAAGCTACATTAAATAGTAAAGCTGACAAGAACCATACACATAAATCCTTCACTACTGTTAGAGCAGACGACATAATATTGAACTATACCCTTGGTTCAAGTGCATCTTTAGAGAATCCGAGTACAAGCGTAAAAGATACACTAAACTCCTTAAATAGTAAATGTATGAACATTGAAGGTCATGTCAGAAACTTTGAAACATATGAACTACCAGCAATGTTAGATAAGAAAGCCGACAAGAACCATACACATAAATCCTTCACTACTGTTAGAGCAGACGACATAATATTGAACTATACCCTTGGTTCAAGTGCATCTTTAGAGAATCCGAGTACAAGCGTAAAAGATACACTAAACTCCTTAAATAGTAAATGTATGAACATTGAAGGTCATGTCAGAAACTTTGAAACATATGAACTACCAGCAATGTTAGATAAGAAAGCCGACAAGAACCATACACATAAATCCTTCACTACTGTTAGAGCAGACGACATAATATTGAACTATACCCTTGGTTCAAGTGCACCTTTAGAGAATCCAAGTACAAGCGTAAAAGATACACTAAACAATTTAGATAACAGTTGCAGGAATATCGAAGATCATGCCAGAAACTTTGAAGCATATGAACTACCAACAATGTTAGATAAGAAAGCAGACAAAACAGAGCTTCAAACATTAAAGACTGAAATACTTCAAACATTATATCCTGTTGGTTCTATTTATACGTCAATGAACTCAACAAATCCAGAAACAGTTTTAGGTTTTGGTACGTGGAAGCAGATTGTAGATAAATTCTTATACTGTGCTAGATATTCAAAGCAAACAGGAGGTTCGAAGAAAATTAAAGAAGCAAACTTACCTGCGCACACTCATACAGGAACTACAAACTTTTCTGGCGACCATAGCCACTCATTAAGAGACCACCCATTATACAACTCAGAGTATGAAGCTGGCCATGACGTTTTATCTCCATCTTATAACAATTCAGCAAAAAAGATTTTTCGACCAACTGAACCAGGAGGAAATCATGTCCATACTTTCACAACAAATCCAACAGGCTCGGTTGCAGATTATATGCCACCATTTGTGACTATATTCGCATGGTACCGCGTTCAATGAACGCGCTTGAGCCTTGAATAAAATCTTTAACTTTACATAAATGAGCTTGAAAGAAGTATTCGAACAACATCCATGGAGGTCATTTAAGAAGTTCAATGAAGCTGCAAAGAGTTGGGGATTTACTAACAGAGCTGAAGTGAAAAGGTTCTTTGACAAAAATGTTGTACATCAAACAAAAATAAACCCTTACGACTACTTTTTACCAATTTACTCCAACACTCCTGACGCATACCAATTTGACACTCTCATTCAAAGCAGAAAAGGAGGACATAAACCATTCCTCATCTTCATTAATGTTAACACTCGTAAAGCATATGCATATCCAATGAAAAATAAAGGAACTCGTGAAGTGTTAAGAGTTTTACAAAAGTTTGTAGCAGAACATAGCCCAAGTACTTTAACATCAGACCAAGACAGTGCATACCTCAGCAATGAAATCACAGAATTTCTCATTAAGCATAACATAACTCACTACACTACTGAAGACCATAACCATAACATACTCGGCATCATAAACCGCTTCATAAGAACGCTCAGAGATTTAAACCAAGAGCGAGACTTTACCGAAGAAACAATGAAACATTTTCTCGAAGTATATAATTCCTCAACACATTCTACAACAGGACATACACCAAATTCAATGACACAACAACAAGAAGAAAAGTATATACAAAAGAAACGAAGTCAAACACAAAATATCAGAAATTCAACACAATTTACCCTCATTCCTGGAACAAAAGTTCGTGTAGTTCTTGACGACAAACCGTTGACAAAGAAACGTTTAAGGTTAAGTAGAAACTATTATATCGTAGACTCTACGCAAGGTAATGGATATCTTATAAAAGCTGCTGACGACTCTATTGCGTTTTACCCTCGACATAAATTAGTTGAAAGTAGTAATGGCAAACTTGCTGAAACCATTGACGAAGCAAAGCGAGGAGTGGTTATTGAAATACTTGGCTACAACATAAACGATGACACTTATAAAGTAAGATATGAAGGAGGCGTTGAAGATGTTATACCATCTAAGAACTTGAGAGAATCTAAACCAACTCATCTGGGACCATTAGAGCGGGAGTACTGGAAAGACAAAAATAAGCCAGAAAGAATAAGAAAATTCTTCTAAACTTTTTCATTAGATGTAAATCAGACAAAATAATTTTTAGGTGAAGAGGTGAGATCTCACCTGTTTTTTCACCTCTTTTTTCACCCTCGCCGCTTAGCGGCTCAGACCCTTTGGGTCTCATGAAAATTCATGAATTTCCTTAAGATAGAAAAATAAAGTTAGTTTTATTTTTATTTATTTTTTATTTGGTATGTAAGAACAGAAATGTCAGTCGAAGCAAAAACATTCACGAACAAATCTAATGGCGAAACATTCACAAAAGGCACTTATAATGGTATTGAAGTCTTACGTAGAGACAAGGATGGTTACATTAATGCAACAAAGATGGCAAGAGAAGCAGGAAAGTTAAACCATTTAAACAGATTTCTCAATAGTGCTAAAATGCAGGAAATTCTTGAGTTTTGGTTGAAAGAATACGGTCGAGCCAAAAGTGGCTCAACCTCAAAACAAGCATTTTATGAGCTTACTAAGGGTGTTATAAATGAATTCAAAGGTATTTACATACATCCTGACCTCGTTCATTTTGTTGCTGAATGGTGCTCTGTAAAGTATGCATTTTATGTCAAAGATATTATGGACTCCATAGACAAGAAAGTTCATGAGAAGTTAGATGAAGAAGAACTCGAAGATACAGTAGAAAATGCAAAACATTTGTTTGAAGAAGAAGTTAGAAAAATGCATGAAAAACAATTAGAACATGAACGTGAGATATGTTATGGTTATAGAGATTCTCCATACGAACTAGACCAATGGGAACAAGAAGATTTAAAGAGAGAATTTAGAGAATATGAACTCGCTAAGATAGCATTAGAAACTGCAGAAAAGAAGTTAAAAGTTTGGGGTCGTTTTGTACAAAAATATTGTGAGTAAATGAACCATTTATTTTTATTGAATTCACCAAAAATAATGTTTAGGGTAGATGGTTAGATCTAACCCGATTTCTAACCTCATTTCTAACCTCGTGAATTTTCATGAATTTCCTTAAGATAGAAAAAATAAAGTTAGTTTTATTTTTATTTATTTTTTTATTTTGTATAAAAGATATGATTTCAACAATCGGCACAACAACAATTCAAGCCACGAACGGCGGGACTCTGTCCACAACTACAGCACCAAACTCGCTAGTCATGAATCCTACGTCAATGTTGGTAGAGATGAAAAGCTTTATTCCTTCTTCATATACTTTTGAAACAGAAATCCAGAAGATAAAGCAAGAACTTTTAACAAGTAATTTAGACTGTAGTGCGAAAGATGAAACAAATGAACAGTATCTTTATGAAATGGAGGACCTCATCGACTATTTGCCTAAACTACCTGAAATTCAGCAGCAAAAACTAACTATTCCTGAATTCGACGAAATTGAAGTCAAAGCAACTGACTCAGTAGAAATTAAGAAATTCATACGTAAAGTAAATTATGAATTCCTTGGTTTTCATTGCAACCATAAAGTTATGGACAAAGATTGCGACATGGTTTATAAAAATATTTCTGACCTTTACAAATCCGAAGAATTTAAGACATACGATAACTTTGTTTCATTAGTTGCAAAATGTGTATGGCAGATAAGAGATAAAGATAGAAGAGGTAAAGTATGGAATGAACAAATAAGACCCGCTATGTTTGAGATGAAGAGAGCAATTGACGCTTTAGTTATTTTAGCTGGTAATGTTTCAATGTATAACGCAAAAACGATGCCGCAATGTTCAAAATGTAAAGCAGCAATAAGAAAATATAACTACTCAGTCAAAGAGATAGAAAGAATGCGAAACGACTATGCAGACTTAAAGAAAGAAGCAGAAAAGCCAGCAGAAGATAAAATGGATATGTTGACATTTCTTAATAAAAACTATCCAACAGCAGAAGATTTCCTTTTATCTGACGTCAAGAAGAAGTATAAAGAAACCTTCGGCATTGTTAAAACATTCGATGTACTAAAAGAAGAAATAGAAGCTACGAAATTGTTTAGAATCTCACGAATTCATAACGTTTACCATGTAAAACGTTTATAAAATAAAAACGTTTATAAAATAACTGGGGTAGAAATGAGGTTAGATATCGGGTTAGATCTCACCATCTACCCTAAAATATATTTTTGGTCAAAGCTTCCACGAGAGAAAAGATTCCTCATTCGCTAAGGATTCCAAAAATGAAAAAATCATTGATTTCGGCTGAGAAAAAAACAGCAAAACCCTTCTTCCACGGGAACAAAGAAATAAAGAAGAAATAAAGTAAATTTTTTATTTATTCCCGTGGAAGATAGAGCACTTTTATGACACTTTTTATTCACGACAAACAAGACAAACAAAGAAAATAAGAAAATACGGCGCTGTCGCGGTTCGAACCACGGGCCCTGACCCCTCCATAACACCACCTGAGACCACTGTGCTACGTAGCCTGTCGACATAAGATTTTATAAATTGCATATTTGACGTAAATTTATTTCCATCTGGCTTCCCACCGCATAAGATATTCATACGTGTTTGTAAGACATTCATTAAACTTCTTTTCTATTGCATCTAATCTTGCGTTATTTTTTTCAATAACTTGTCTGTATTCTTCATCATTGTTAACCAATTTTTTATCTACAAATTTTATTAGTGTTTGATTCACTTCGTTATGATAACGGTCATATTCTTTCAATACGTAAGTGAAGACAAAATGCGTCGTACCTTCAATCTTAAAGCTTAAAGAACTTTCAACACAGTTTTGAGGGTCTGTCAGTGCGTCAATGAGATAGTATTCGAAGTCAGTCAATAATCTTTTTAAAGTCATTTCATACAGGATAAAATTTAATGTTGTGAAGAAATAGTGTTTATCTCAGAAAAAATAACGCTAATTTTATTTTTATTTATTTTTTTTATTTTGTATGTAAAGACAGTAATGTCAACATCAGAGAACACAACAACAGTTATAGTCCATGAAGCTATAAATGAAGAATACGAGTACATACAGTATAACAAACAGTTACGTCTCATTCGTTCAGTCAAAGATGACATGTACCAGATGCAAAGTATAATGAACGCTCTTCGTTCTACAAAGCAAGCATATCATTGGTTTGAAAACCAACAGACAAAAGAACTTTTAGAAGAATTTCCTCATATGATTGCTTCCCTCGGAAAACCGGGGGAAGAGATTCCGTATGAAAATCGCAAGAATTTGGCTCCTGGTTTGAAAGGTTATTATGTTCATAGACTTTTAGTAAATGCTGTAGCAATGTGGGCTTGGCCCCGTTATGCTTGTTATATTTTCATGATGTTAGATGAACTATATAAAGCAGAACGTGGAGAGATGGAAAAGAAACTTCATGCAAAAGATGAAGTCATTGAATCCAAAGACAAAAGCATACAGAAAAGAATACCGCGTTCAGTACCAAAAGGAAAGGAAAAGAGTTATAAGTATATGATATATACTGAAGAGTTGGAGAAAGAAGAAGATAAAGAAATGATTATGTTGCATTTAGTCAGAAGAAACAACAAGAGCTTTTATGACTTAGCTAAGATATATAAATCTGACAGAAACTGGTTCTATCGTGAAAACTTACCGATTTCAATGACACCGAATGAGCAAATAAAGGAAATTGTCAAAAATACTCTTCCTCAAACACACTATGACATCAAAGGTTGCACAATACTTACATTCAAAGAAGACTTAACATTACTGAAGGAAAAAATAACAGAATATTTCGATAACTTCAAAGAGGAAGAATAAAAAAAATCTAAGCTAATTTTATTTTTTTTATAAAATTTTATCTCATATGAAAGAACATGAATTTAGAATATTCGGAACTCATGACAGAAGAAGAGAACGAACAACATGTAAAAGATTATGCAAAATTTCTGAAGACATACAAAGCATTTAAACAATATCTAAATGCTTCTAAAGATTATGCAAAATTTCTGAAGGTATATAAAGCTTATGAAAAAGCGTATGAAAAGTTTATACATTGGGGAATTGTTGTAAAATATCGATATGAAGACTAACCAAAAATATATTTTTGCTTAAATAGCTTCAGGGTCTATTTCTTCAACCATTTCACTTCCTTCGTCAATGTCAATAGAAGCTTCTTCAACCTTTGGTAAGAATTTCTGTATAACATCTTTGTTCGTTATTGTCTTCAGAGATGAAGGATAATATTTCACAGATGTTTCACCCTTCTTATATTCTTTCTGTTCGGAAAGATTTAAAGCAATACTGAAGAAGTCAACGTTAGAGTTCTTTATGACAGTATAATGAGTATCTTTGACATTCACGAAGAAACTCTTTTGTTTCAAAACTACTGCTAACTCTTGTGAAGTATAACGTTTGCGGTCAATGACGATAGCTAATGGTCTGACATACTGACCAAACTTAGATTCTTTCACAAACTTCTTGTTAAAGATAACATTAACATTTGAAGCATTATTGAACTCATTATTGATGGCAGTAGCGAGAGCATTGTATGAAAAGAACTTGCAATCTTGCATGTGTTTCATTAAAATAAAAATATTAAATTATTTTGAAAAATAACTTAAAAAAATCTAATCTAATTTTTTCAAAAAATATTTTTTTATTTCCTACTAAAGATGTATCGGAAGTTGTCTAAGTTAGAACACTCGGAAATAAAACAACTTCTTACAGAAGCTAATATAGATGTTGCAAAGCATTACGCAACAAACAAAAAAGCACTCACTGACTTCATTAAAGACTACAATGGTGAAATAACTTATGATAGAATTCATGAGTTCATAAAGCTGCAACGCGGCGAGGACGAAGTCCATGCAAGAGCATTTCCTTTAAATGACGTTGCTATTGACTTATATCATAGACGTTCAGTACCTCATGAAGTAAGAAGAGAAATGTTTGACATAACAAATGCAAACGTTGGTGAAACAAGAAGAAGAGACGACACACTGAAACAACAGAGAAGAGAGATGTTTAACAGCGCTATAGAACAAGTTCGCAAAGCTAACGATGTCATTCGTTCCATTGACGACAAAACCAAAAGAAGGTGAGAGATGTTAAAGAAAGATGAAGAGAATAGGAAGAGGAATGTTAAGACAGGCAATAGACTCATTGACTTTAACATCGAAGCTTTAGAAACCAAACAGAGACTACTTACACAAACATTTCGGTAAGGTTTTCATGAGACTCTTAGAGAAAATTAAAATAAACTCAACAGAGATGGATGGTATGTTATAAACTTGGTGGAAAGTATGAATGTTCTACGTTAAACCTCAATAATATTGGAACATTACTACATCAGCTCTTGAAAGAGAACTTTATATCAAGATAGAAGCAAATGCTGCAGGTATTGTTGAAATGCACTATGACTTCTTCTTGACAAACATAAAGAATCTTACTGAAATAAAGATGTATGATTTAACAGAATATGAAGGCTTAACGATGTCAGATGTAAAGAAAGGCAAACCAAAAAAGAGACCATATAGAGATGAAAGCACACTGACAAATGACCAGAAAGCCATTTTGGAAGCTCTTAAGCAAACAGGAAACCCAGCACTTATAGAAAGCTTTTGGAAAGATAATGGTGAAAAAATTTTTATAAGAAAAGAAGCGGTCAGTTCTGGAAGTATCTTTGCACATTACCTATAAATCTTGAGCGCTACCAAATCTTCAATGAACTGAACAAAAGAACTGCAACACTTATGACAGAAGATAACTGCTTCGTTTATGCTTGCATTCAGGCTGGAGTAAATGAAGAAACTATTGACCACATGAGAAAGTCATTCGTGTTAGAGACTTTCCTCAAAGTAAAGTACAAGAAATTTCTGACGCAACAGGTATAGCATTTAATGTTACATTGGTTATTTCAATGACTCAAGACATAATGAAATAAAGAGATACATACCAAAAGAATGTGAAACTGTTAGAACTATTGACTTACTTCTTGTTGAAGACCACTACATGCTAAACGAAAGATTACCAATGACAACATATTTCATTCGCAACTATATAGAAATTCTCAAAGCTTTGTGGAATGAACATTGAGAAAAAAAATGAAGATTTATACAAAGAGAGAAGATAAATATGTAGTTCGTTATGATAGAACAACACCGTTATGGGATGTTATGAAAAACATTGTGGGAGTGCAAATATTCGAACCTATTTCTTATGGAGAACTTTTCAACATATACGACTGACTTATATAAACAGAACCTTGCACCATTTAAAATTTGACATATGCTCCAAAGTATTGTGTACACTGAAGAAGAAAGCCGAGTCAAAAGAAGTAAATAAAAATAAGTGCAAGTTCATTCCTGAGCACGTTTTCTTTGCTGACTTTGAATGTAGCACAGACGGCTTTCATAAAGCTTTTAACATCTGTTATGACAGTGAAGATGGTTCAGTGAGTAAAGCATTTGGGGGTCAGAACTGTGCAACAGAATTTTTGGAGCGACTTCCTGACAAGAGTTTAATATATTTCCATAACCTCAGTTATGATATAAACTTCATCTTAAGACACATGACAGAAGTGAAAGGAACTCCCATCATTAAAGGTTCACGAACAATGCAAATAACTGGCTTATATAAAGGAAGGGCAATTATTATAGGGTGTCCAAAGGTGTGTTTAGCACAAACCTGAATACTGCGAATAGAAATAAACAAGTTACATATATATAAAGTTTATTTAAATATAATCACCATTGGATTCAATCACGCGTTCGCAGCGATCGATCCAGGCTTGAAAGACACGCTTTAAATCATCATGAGAAAATTGCTCAAATTGCTCTCTTACAAAATTTTCAAGATCATCTGGACTCGCGAATTCGCGTCCTTCAGCTCTCTTTTTTA